AATAATAATATAGATATATATAAATAAATATTATGGTGATAGATAGCAAAGTAGAATATTAATTTTATTTTTGATAAAATTATTTTGTGCGATATAAGTGCTATTGGAAAATAATTTTGATACTTTGTAATACTCTAAATTATTTATAATAACATAATATTAATATGTATATATATATATATATATAAATATATATATATATATATTAGATGATAAATTGTAATTAATTGGATTATTAATTGATTGATGATTTAAGCATTTATGTTTGATTGGTAATGTTTGATTCATAATGATTGATTAATAATGATTGATTGATAATGTTCGATTGATAATGTTCGATTGGTAATGTTTGATAGGTAATGATTGATTGGTAATGTTGATTGGTAATTTGATTAGATATAATGAGTTAGCATTGAGTCAATAATGTATGAAGTCAATATCTGAGTCAAATACATCAATAAAGAAAAAGGAAATAAATTCATGAAACCCATATTCGAGCCCAAAACTTCAACTATAAATAGAGGCCTAGCCTAAACAAACTAATTCACTCTCCAACATTTCTCCTCTACTACTCTCTCTCCTTACTTCAAAAGTTTATTTGTTTTATTTTCTATATTCTTTTGGTTACCAACCGGTTCTCTGCCCCAATTTATTCTCTTCTAGAAGTTAGCAAAAACGGAGACTAGGTAATCCTAATCCTTAGGTATTTTTAGATTATATTTATTTTATGTGAAATTTGGTATGTGTAATCCTAATCCTTAGGTTATAATTTTGTTTGAAGTTTATTAATAGTAATCATAATCCCTAGATGTTTGTAGGTTATCTGTATTATATGAAATTTGGGCATGATCCTTATATGTAATCCGTAGATGTTCTTAATAGTTTGGTATGAACATTTCTATATATATAGGTATTTGTTCTTTTTAAAATTTAAATTACTACATATGATAATTAGAATATGGATACAAGTTATTCCTTAGAATGAAAGAGAATTTCGAATAAGCTTTTTTTGAAGTACATGGGAATCGAACTGCAACACACACACCCACTAAACACTACACACCCCACCACCACTAGGCTAGCCCTAGTGGGTTGAATTCCGAATAAGCTTGCAATATATGATATAAACTTTTATTTTAGAAATTATGATTATGTGCAATATATGATATAAAATGTTATTATTTTAGAAATTATAATTATGTGCAATGTATGGTATAAGACTTAATTCAGGTGCAATATATGGATCTTATTGAATAATTATGAAAATTATGGAATTATAATACTCTTTAAGAAAAACTTTCCAAATATGTGTTTTAATGATTGAATTTGAATATTTATAACTATGATAATTGATGTGATGGGATTATTTGAATGACGATGATTGGATTTGAATTTTTCTATGATGAATGTTGAAGATTTGAATTATTATATCCTTGAACAAATTGGAAAGTTATGATGAGGATCAGATTTGGATTTTATGGTGATGAATGTTGAAGATTTGAATTATTATATCCTTGAATAAATTGGAAAGTTATGATGAGGATCGGATTTGGATTTTACTGTTATGAATGTTGAAGATTTGAATTATCATATCCTTGAATAAATTGGAAAGTTATGATGATGATCGGATTTGGATTTTACTATGATGAATGTTGAAGATTTGAATTGTTATATAAATTCGAGAATTTATGATAATAGTTGTTTGAATTATGATACTTTGGAAAATTATAATGCCCTTGAGTAACTCATTTAGAGATGATAATACTTAAAGAATAAATAATTATGATTGAATCTTTCCTGATTGTGTGTGTTTGTAATAAATTAATGGTGGGAGGATAGCTTTGGGATGGTACCTTCCAAAGTGATGAACACAACTTTTGGGCTTTATGCCTCCGATGTGAAATTGATGTGAAAAAGATTGTATCCGTTCTTCCCAAAGTGGTATCTGGTAACAGTGGTTTTTTCCCGGGATACTAGTAGCAACTTTGGGAAGAGGTGTGCACACTAGGAAGATGTGAATTGATTATGGCCAATTTTGATTATACGTGGCTGGTAACAGTGGTTTTTTCCCGGGTCACGGGGTAGACTGGCAGGGTTTCCCGGGTCTACCATGGTTCTCTTCCCACTAAATATAATGAACTTAAACATTATTAATGAAAATTGTTATTTGATTTGATTATGAAGAATGTCATTGAGTTGTGAATATTATCATATTATGATTAATGTTGTGCTAAATATGTCAGTTGACAATTACCCTTATACACTAAATGGACTAAATAATCTTAAACATGATTAATAATGATATTAATACTTGATTTGAGTTATGATTAAATGACTTATTTGAATTATTGCTTGATTTATGATTAAATTTCTTATTTGAATTATTACTTGACTATGATTAAATGACATATTTGAATATTGCTTGAGTTATGAATAAATGACATATTCGAAATATTAATTGAGTTGATTATGTTGATTATTCTTAAATAAATGTCTTGATTGATATTGGGTTATATTATCCTCGGTTTGTATCTTGATTGGGATTACCAGCTTTGCTGACTTTTGTGTTTGTTTGAATGCAATGATCCTGCGGCTGCGGGGGAGCAGATTTTCAGTGAAGCATGTTGCAAAGGATGGGGCTAGCTGTGGGCAGTGAGGATCACGACTCGGATATTTCTAGCTGTCATAAATATTATGTAAAAAAAAAAAAAAAAACTGTAGTCTTAGATTTTTATTTGAATGTAGTAGAGTTAGCCTTGCACTTGTCCCTGTACAAGTGCGGCGGTAACACTTCCCAAATTTGATTATTTTGAACTTCCGCTGTTATTTATAAAATTATTGAATTTATTTATGCTATTATAAATTGTTAGAATTTGGGGTGTTACACTACAACCCATTTTGACAACTCTACTTCAACCCACATAGGGCCTTTTTTAACATACAAACTTTATTATCTACATTTGAAGAGTCAAATCCTGATGGGATCTCCCTAAAACTTCTTCTTACTCGTCATTAAGGAAGACACTCTTCAAATCAAATTGGTTCATGTCCCAATCAAACTGAGCAACAAGGGACAATAGGACTATCATGGTGTTTCTTTTGGCCATAGATGCAAACATTTCCTTGTAATCAATGCTATAGGTTTGTGTGTAACCCTTGACTTCTAATCGAGCCTTATACTTGTCGAGAGTACTGTTAGAATCATATTCGAGAGTATAAACTCACTTGTACCCCATTGCTTTCTTATCGCTTGGCTTGTCAACAACTTCCTATATTTTATTTTTCTCCACGGCCTTCATCTTGTCATGTCTTAGAGAATCTAGTGGATTGGCACCAAGTCGTTATCAATTGATCCTTGGTGCCATCTACAGCATATTATAAAATGAGATAGTACAACCCACCCACCTCCTTAGCACAAAGAATAGGAAACTATACAATACAAATCAAATCCTTAATATGTATATGGTGGAAAGAAGATTGGTCGAAAGCTGGGGAACATTAAGAGCATCTTATATACTTGGAGGGTTGAATTTAAATGTTAATAAAACACGCAATTATGGGTACTAACGACAGGATGATAAGAAAGAAATGGGTCAGTGCAGCAAGTCATATGATCGGTAGCACTAGAATCCACAATCCATGAATTTTTTAAATCAGTGCAAGAAGTAATAAAAGAATGAGTTCTTGTGTTCTTATCAATCATAGCCAAAGAACCAATACTAGGGGGCTTACATAGAGAATCAATCATGGTCCTAAGCCTCTCTGATTCCTCTCGACAAATAGTAGTGAATTCAATAGGCACATGTGAGGCCTTACTAGGAGTATCACATTCAGAGATTTCAAATGAGCTTGGCCACATGTAGATGACCTAATGAGCTTCTCAAGAACATATTGCTTCCCATAGAGGTTAAAGCAAATGTCTTTTGTGTGACTAGGCTTCTTATAGTAGGTGCACAAGCGTCTTTCCCTATCGGAATTAGAAGAAGAGGAAGAGGAACCTTGGTGAGGAGGCTTCGTCGAGATCATTGCAAACCCAATAGTGGGCTTAGAATTAGAAGAAGAATCTGGAGAAGTGAGCATAGGCGAGAGCATAACAGACTTATCTGGGAGCTTAGCATCCATCATGGCTACCCTACAACTCTTTTCACCCCTAACTGCGTGAAAAACTTCAAAAAGAGAGGGTAATTTTTCCTTACCAAGAATTTGGACCCAAGTATGGTCACATTAAGAGTTGAGCCCAACAAGAAAATCAAAGATTTGATCCCTTTCAACCAAGGCTACTAGGGAGGTAGCATCCTTGGCACATTCCATCTTCACTCTGCTATTGATCTAGTTCAATCCAAACCCATTCATAATACGCTAATACTCTATCATAGAGAAAGAGCCCTACATAGTTAAAAAAATCTTATTCTTCAACTCATAGCATGTAGCAACATCTTGCTTCATGGAGTACGTCGTTCAAAGAACCTCCCAAATCTTAAGAGCTGTAGGTAAGAACATGCAATTATGACTCACTCAGGAGTCACAAAGCTCCATTGCCATGTAATAATAAGAGATTTTTTATCATCCCACTCAGTGAACTATAGGTCTGTTTTGGCAAGAACAAAGACCTTCAAGATGCGCAACCTTACGAACAAATAATTAATAATATGAAATTGGTATCCATTTTATCTGTAATGATATGACATGATGTGGTACAAACTACAAAGCACTAATCATTATTTATACTGATATTAGACTCTAAATCCTAGTAAAATCAACATCAATAACACCTCTAAATATTTATACTAATATTAGACTCTAAATCCTAATAAAATAAGGAAATAAATTATGAAATTTAAAGAAATAAAGAAACTATTCCTAAAGAGATCACATAAGATATTCTAAACTATTCTAAAATGTAATACATCATGAAATATTTTTCATATCTTCATTCTAACAGTATAGATAGATAAACCAAAAAAAAAACTCAAAAATAGAAAACAAGGCATGCTAGACACCTGGTTTAGAGAAACTTCAAGCAAATGAAGGGCTTCTTTAAAAGTAGAGAAGGAAAAGTCATCCCATGCAAGTGTCATTGTCAGAATGGAAACACTTTCCAGCTCGTCTAGCTCAATCTGTCATGAAAACTTTTATCAGATCATCAAACAATATTATAACAGTGGGGATGATCAGAATACATGCTAAAGAATTAGCTCAATCTGTCATGAAAACTTTTATCAGATCATCAAACAATATTATAACAGTGGGGATGATCAGAATACATGCTAAAGAATTATTTTAAAGAAATACAAGAGGAAGGAGAAAGCAAGATATAGTTAACAATTTATATTAAATTAAAGGAAATAACTCTAATAAACCTTTACCTGCGGGATGAAAAAGCAAAAAGAACCGTCCTCATGACTCATGGAGACCAAATCGTCATCTGAATTTATATCCATAAAACCATAGGCCACTATATGGGTTGAATCAGTTGAGATGTATCTGCGGAAATAATTCATTCTATGGTTGGTACATAATAACTCAAAAATCTCATGTTTAACCAGATACCATCATTAGTAATCTATAATGAAGTTCCATCATATATGGTGCCCCTTTAAATACATAAATATTTCCATAATCCACTAATACATATGGTAAGAAAAACAACTCAAGTCTTACTCAGATCTAAATCAGATTTAATATATCCTCTCACCCATGACTCCATCACCCTACAGAGTTTATGCCTCAATGGAAACCAGCAGTACATTTCCCTTTTTTTTCTTATGTCCATTCAATCCCTTCTTATTGTTAATCCCTCCGCTAGCATTCTAATTCTTATATGTAATCACATGTTTCGTCATCAATTCTACCATGATTCAATAAAAACTAACTTAAATTTCTAGCCATCAACTTAGAGATAAAAGCTAAAACCAAAAGGAACTAAAATCAGGTTGAACTGACCTTTTGATAAAACTCTGATTTCCAGGGGAAGAATGTGCAAAAGAAACAGCAGCACCAATGCCAAAAACTCCGCGACTTCCATTCACATACAGTGACTTACACGTCGGATTGTCCGTGTTCTTGGAAAGAAAAATCAAGGGAAACACTCCTGATGACTCCGGTTGACAGCAAAACCAACTCAATGCCTTAGGACTCGGAGGCACGGCCACCTGAACAAAATCACATCCACATAGTAGTAATACCTCAAAAAGCATCATTTCAACAGTTCACTAAATAGAATTGATTCCACATTTATTTAACCTCGCATAACCAAAAATTATTTTTCTAAAAATGCACATTGTAACTGAAAGAATCAATTTTCCTTAGACATTGAGAACAGGAAGAGGCACCTGAAACCTAAGGAATCCAATGGAGCGACGAGGTGGCTCCAGCTTCAACATTTCGACAGCGTCCTTCATTTTCTGAAGTCCGTCCTCCAATGTCAACGCCGGAGGAAGAGTCCGCGTGACGCAATGCTCGAAAACCACTTCGTTTTCCTCAACGTCGACGGTTAGAGGCACCGGGCCGTCAAACTTCACTCCTCCAACAACCTCAACCCTCGGCAACACTCTCCGAGCACCTCCCATGGCGAACGCAGAAGAAGTGAACGAAGGTGGGAGAACGAAAAACATTGCCACATTGCAGAGCCTCGAGACTCGGAACGCCGGCACCGGCAAATTCATGGATAAGAAGGTGATAACGAAAATAAATCCACCGAGAAAAGGTAGAGTGATGCAAGCAAAGCGCTACATTATCACCTGTCTTCATTTTAATTTATTACCGAAGATGCATTAATTCAACAAAAAAAAATGCATGAAATTGCAATAGCATTAATAAAAGCTATTAATGTTTTTTTTTAGATAATTTTATTTTTTTTATACATATGGGCCTATACAGGATCATATGAAGAGAAAAAAGACAAAAAATAATATGAGCTCCATATATTTTTATATGTGTGTGGTAAATAAAATTATTTCCTATAAGAAACATTAATCATTAGGGATGATTATATTATCTGCCTATTTTTTATTTTGGTACACTATTATCTACCTATTTAATTTTTCTACTCTTACTACTTTTTTTTATGACCGCTGATTATAGTTAAACCAATAGTGATAAATATAACACTCTGTCACCCAATGTATTAAACATGCAATGGTAATAAGCGCAGCTTAATCCACACCAAAAAAAAATAAGCGCAACTTAATTAAATTGCGGGAGCTATTATGCAATTATGAAGACTCATTAAATTAACCGTGTGAATTAACTTTTTCTTTTAAACAATTCTTATGTAATTGCAATACAAACAATAATCTGAAATGCCTCATAATCATAAATAATACTTAGTCATGAGCCTACATCGTGTAGTCATGACAACATCCATACTCAATGGTATAAACCAATACATGTCCTCAACAACAATAAACATCAGAATAAGATTATTAAATAGTGACATAGACAACACATATGCTCACATCAAATAAACATAGTCAATACTATCAATATAAACATGCCTCAGCAATAATATGTCTCATAATCATAATACATGCATATCATATTATCCACTCTACTTCGGCCTCTTGCCTTGAGATGCCTCGAGATGCACCAACATCATGAATATCTATACCTGAAAAATGTTCCCTACACTGGGTGAGATTTTGACAAATCTCATGTGATAACCCAAGAAAAATAACAATAATAATATGTACCCTTATGTAACATCCCATATAATTAGGAATCTTTATAAAATTTCAATTAGGAATGTGGAAGAGTGCTTGTCTTCGAATTATATAAATATTTTCGTTACGGTGGAATTAATCTAAATTAGGGAATTATTTGAATTAAAATTGTGGGTGAGTATTTATTTTAGGCATTTGATACTCTTGTTAAAAGTGTAGGAATAATTTAATTGTAACATGTAGGAAGCCTAATGATACTTAGACTATGTGGGAATTAATAATTAAAGGGGTCAATTTTAAGATAGGAGAACCATTGGACTTATAGTTTTTGGACCCAATCTTTGTATTGGTCGTTGGCCCAAAGGCTTTAAAGGGAACTTAGCTTCAGCCCTAACCTCTTACCCTATTCACACTTATCCTAGAATCTTGCAAGGCTGTCCATGATTGGCAAAGGATCAACACATGGCAAAATTCAGTCACTTGGCACCCCTTTCTATTATACTTGTGCCATTAGGCAATCTCAATCAGCCTTTTTAGCATGCAACCAATGGGAAAAGTGTGAACAGTTTGCATGTCATTCCATTGGGTAGAAATCCCTCCAACCCTATCTCTCTCTTGTGCGCCTAGGAGAGTATGACAAAGCTGATTTCCTTTTGTTAGCCTTAAAGTTTAATTACTAGTAAGCTTTAACACTCTCTCATTTGCTTCCCTTGTGCGCTGTGTAGGTGAAAGAACAAATATGTAATTGGTGTCTAATTGCCAAACACAACCAGCCACCTTATCCTTTTTCCTTCTTGTGAAATGTAAGGTAGCTGAATATTATTCTCTAGATTCAGAACAGAAAACACAGCCTCTCAACCTCCCTCCGAAACTGTTAATCACCAAAGAAGCACCACAAGAATGTAACTTGCAATCCTTCCTTTCTTTTGACCGAGAGCCTTCATCCTCATCATCTCAAGACCTTGAGTAATTAGCAAAGTACACAAAGCATCATCTTCCTCTCCTCTCACTGATTAGACCGTCGAACAACCTACCTCAAGGAGAGCTCAACATCTGCTCATCTATTTGTCTTCCTGGTCCAGCCGTAATGCAATCTTCAAGGAGGTGGGGTATCGCTCTATCTCCTTGTTTTCCTAGTTTTTAATCGGTTCTGATTGGGGTGTGTTCCCTTGTATGCAGCAGTAAAGTGTGATCCTTGGAGGTGAAGGTGAGGGCATTTGCTTAACCATTGGTTGCTGCTCCCTCCAAGCGATTAGTGAAACTTTGGGTACATACTTGGGGGCTGTAAACCGAAGACCAAGTCTCCATCTCACCCTCACTGTTCGGTTTTCTTAAGGTAGGCTAGGAAAATATATTTTGCTATTTTAGTCCCTTTCCATTTTGTTCAGTTGGTGAACAACGAATCTTTTGAGGCATGCAAGCTAAAATTATTTTATTGTGAGATTAGAAAATAGCCCTTCTTACTACTCTTTGCATTAACTAAATTAGTTAGGCCTTGCATGGGTTACAAGGGGTTGAACAGCATGTGTGAAGACTCTCTTGGCGCACCATGCCTTGTGAAATTGGAAAGTGTACCTAATGTAGGAACCATGAAAACCGAACCTGCTAGAGTACATTATCTTGGGATTCTTCTAGTTACTTATTATTAATTGGCAGAATATAATTTAGTGCATAAAAGCTGTGAAAATTAACTTGATGAACTTGGAAAGATAACTCCCTAAGTTGTTGGGTTGTTCATTGTATTGGAAAGTAAATTAATAAAATTACACATGTTTAAACTTAGTGGACAGCACCCTAAGAGCCTATTAAATCCTGCCTAAGTCACGCAAATAGTGTTATTCAAATGAAAATTCTGAGTTCCTAGGGAATGAACCACAAAACCGATTCTATATGTTAATGAAAGTTTGGGTTTTAGTGTTGTTGACAAGTTAGAAAAATGACTCGGAGTCAGAAAAATTAGTGAGTAAAAGACTTATAGAAAACATGCAAAATGCTAAAGCTTATAGGCATGGCTAGTGCTTGTAAATTATAAGGACCAACGTTTGAAATTCTGTTTGGTTTTCCTTGCTTGATTAGGTGCACATAACCTGTGAGTGTGGACTGAGTATGCTGCTGTTTGATTTATATTTGGGCACACAATGTAAGTGTTTGGTGGTGAGACCTATTGTGACTATTAGCTAGAGTATGGAATTTTGAACTGTTGCTCACATGTGCCTGATGATTTGTATTCTGTTATACGTTATATGTGTTCTGCCTTTAGACTTGACATGATGGAAATTCCGTTTTGGGGAATTATTTGTGATTCGGCAGCTCGGTCTTAAAAGTACAAGAAATATATGCTATTATGATCTAGTCATGCATATGCACCTCATGATTCATCTGTTCTGTTGGTGTGTGCCAAACATGTCATAGCATCCAGCATTATGCATTCATTCTGGAAACCGAAGTATATAATAAAAGTAAGCATACGTTTGAGCACGCATCATATAGGCATCCCTCCGGTACCAGGGTATGGGACACTTGGCTTCAGTCTACATAGGTCCAGTGGAATTCACCTTTAGGAGCCCTATGGAATCTCCACTGTGTTTGTTAGTACGTGCACTGCAGTACTATGAACGTACACCTTTGGCGTTATATACGCATCTTGATTAGTACTTTGGCGTTATATACGCAATATGATTAGTACTTTGGCGTTATATACGCACTATGATTATATGTTAGCATCTGTCCGGAAAGTTAAATGTTGATGCGTCTGTTTTGGAATTTTGTGCCTAGTCTAATATTGTTGCTTTACTGGTTTTACTGCCGCACTATTGGGATTTTTCTCACCCCTTCGGGGGCTCAATTTTATAAATTGCAGGAGTGCGAAAGAGCATTTGATGATGATGTACTTGTATTGTGGATATTCTGTTTACATGCTGCTGTTGGAAATTCTACTGTATGTAGCTGATTTTGCTGAATGCGCATGAAATATTTGACATTGGTGTAATATTTGGGAGATTGGAAAAAATGTTGGATCATATATTATTTTGCTATAATTTGGGATTTATGTACTGTTTGTAAATTACGTAATGTTGAACTCGTTTGCGAAAACAATTTTTGTCTATTTTTAAATTCGGATTTCTGAAACTGATTTTGTGAGCACCTTGCGAGTTCTGTTTCTGGGGCTACAGTTCTCCGTTTGAGACATAATTTATATGTGCTTAACGCCCCAGGTGTCTAGTTTAAGATTACATAAACTTTACAATGAAATTCTGAAAGCTCGATTTATTATGATTTTTGCAAGTCAGGTCGTTTTGGAACATTGCAATGATTTGTCTTGTACTTTGTGAGTTCAGTTTCGAGAGCTAGACACCTCCGAATGAAACAATTTTATATGCACGTAAAGCCCCGGATGTCTAGTTTCCTGTATCTAAAAATATTTTCTTAAGCTATTGAACTCGAATTTATACGATTTTTACAAGGCAGCAAGGTTTTTCAGGAAAGCCATTATTTCAGCAAGCCATGCATTTTGTAAAGTTGCACTCTGATTTCAGTAAACTCCCAGATTTCAAACTAATAGATAATTAGTAACTCAAAAACGCAGTGCTGTATTTACTTAAAAATTCGTTACGACTCTAATCCGCTTAGCAGACAACTCCCTTGGGTGCACACAGGGGAGGGTGTCACACCTTAAGTGTATAATTATATCATGTCATACATGTTGGGTTTAGCATAAAGTGGTGTTATAAACATTGATATATTTGGTTGACATTGAATGTTAATGGTTATCATTTTAATTGGTAATATGAATAGTTATTTTCATTTAAATATGACCGTTACAATATATTAAGGATAATTAACGTAATTATGATGACCATTGATATTACTTGCAGTTTCAATAATTGAAATAAGTATGATGACTTTTGATATTACCATAATTAACATCTCAGTTAAAAAACTTCAGCTATAAATAGGAGCGTAACCTAACCAAACTAAATCACTTTCAATCCTCAACATTTCTTCGCCTTCTTCTCTTTCTTCGGATTTCAAATTTTATTTTTGTATTATTTTTCTGGCTTCCGACTGTGCTTCTCTTCTCTAATCGCTTTTCTTCCTAGAAGTCATCAAACACGGAGACCAGGTAATCCTACCCTAGGTGCTCTTAGGTTAGTTTTATATGAAATTTGTTAAATGTAATCTTAATCCTTATAGGGAGTTTTGGATGTTTTCATATATTATATGTAACTTTTAGGGTATTTAAATTAAATTATTTTAACCTCTAGAAATTAATTGGATTAATTATTAGACTTTGGCTTTACTCTAATAGATGTGAATATTTGAATTCTGATTTGGAAAATTATGATATGATGCAATTTGGGTTTTACTCTTTGAATTCTGATTTGGAAAATTATGATATGATAATTGGATTTGGGTTTTACTCTGGTAGATGTTGAATATGAACATTATGATATTTTGGATAATGGATTTGAAAATTATGATGGATGGATTTCAAAATTATGATATTCTTGAAAATTTGAATTTGGAAATTATACTCTTGATTAAATTGATGTGAAAATTATGAAAAATATTTGAGAAAATTTTCCAATTATAATGATTGTGATAAGATTGAATTTTATTTGATTGTGTGTGATTGTAATAAATAATAGTGGGAAGATAGCTTTTGGGATGGTACCTCCCGAAAGTGATGAACACAACCTTTGGGCTTTATGCCATTGATATTTATTTGATGTGACATTGATGTTTCCGTTATTCCCAAAGTGGTATCTGACAGCAGAGTTTCTCGGGGTACTAGTAGCAACTTTGGGAAGAGGTGTGCACACTAGGATTTGATATTTTGATATGGCCAATTCTGATTATACGTGGCTGACAACAGGGTTTCTCGGGTCACGGGGTAGACTGGCAACAGGGTTTCCTGGGTCTACCATGGTTCACTTCTCACTAAATACACTAAATAGATTAAATAAAGATTAATATAATTAATAACGAGTTGATATTTTATTTGAGTTTTTGAGTTATATTATTTTATTGGATTATTATAAGTTATATTTTTATTTATTTATTTATTTTTGTATATTGGATTGGGATTACCAGCTTTGCTGACTGTTTGTGTTTGTGATTGTTTTGCTGCAATGATCCTACTGGGGAGCAGATTTCCAAGGGAACAGGTTGCGAAGGAAGGGACCAGCTGTGGGCAGTGAGGATCACGACTCAGATATTTCTAGCTAGTTCCTAAGTTTAGAAATTTTATGAGATTTAATAAAGGGAAAAATATTTCTGCAGTTACTGCAGATAAGTTATCTGCATTTTTTTCAACATGACGTCGTTTTGATATTGAAATTTTAAAAAATTATAGATATAAAGACTACTATAACCCTGAAATAAATTAAAATTACAAAAATATCATGATTTCCGTCCCAAAACGGCGTCGTATTGAGCTTACTGCAGATAACTTATCTGCAGTAACTGCAGAAAAAGCGAACCCTTTAATAAATGTATAAGACATATTTCCTTTGGTTAAACTTTAGTCTTTGGCTTTATTTTAATATAATAAATTTAGCCTTGCACTTGCCCATAGTACAAGTGTGGCGGTAACATTTCTCAAATTCGGTTAATTTAAATTTCACAATTATTTATGACTTTAGAAATTTTATGTTATTATAAATTGTTAAACATTTGGGGGTGTTACAAAATGGTATCAGAGCCTTTGGTTTTGCTTGGGTTTGCTTTTGATACTAACTCAAGGGATCAAAGATACCAGAGTTAAATAATTAAATAAGTACATAAATAATTAAATTACATGGAAAAAAATTAAATAAATAAATCAAACATGAGATATGGGTAGTGAAGGGTTATTTTCTTGTCCTTTAAATGTGATTTTTTTTATTTTTTTATTAAAATTCTCATAATTAAATGTTTGAAATTATTTTGTGACTCATTATGTGATTTAGAATTATTATTGACACGTAAAATTTTATTCTAGCAAATGGAGAATTTAGTAAGAAATGTTGGAGAGGTGATTATAATTGAGTACAAGTGGGATGAAAAAGTGTCAATAAAACATAGACCGCGCATGATTACCCCTGATTTCTTGACTAAATACTTTATTAAGGCACTTCCAAAGAACAGAAGTCTTGGAAGGGTGAGAAATATGTTAGAAAAGAAAATTCCTCTTAGAGGTTGGTTTCCTTATGGTTATCAACAAGTGATAGAATTCATAAGCGAAATTCAGAAAAAGGTTCAAGAAATTGAAGCTGCGATAAAAGGGGCATTAACATATTCGGTACAAAATAAACCTTTTCGACAACGAAGTAGAAACAAGAAAGTTGAAAAACTATCCCAAATATACCCTAGTTGTATGTTAAAAGATGCATTGATGAGTTGTGAAGAAAAGCTTGAAAAGTTAGAAGAACCTCCACCACTAACACATAGAAGACGTTGGGAACATGAGCAAATGGGTAGAATTTTTTTAAGCTAAGGGGTTCCTTCTGTAACACTCCGTATATATCCGGCATGTTATCATATCATCGTATTAAGCTGCGCTTAATTAAAAATATGGAATATCTTTTTCTTTTCAATTATGACATCATTATCATTACCAACTTGATTACTTAATCATATTTCCAAAACATCGCCTGTATGTAAATTGCAAATAGACAGCTAACTGAAATACCTCATAATATATATAACGTAAATGAGTCTCTAGTCACGGAACTACAACACGTAGACCGGACGACCTAATAGTTTATGCAACTCAAGCTCAAAGTACTAACATCAAAGCGGCATGGACAAACCCCATGCTCGACAAATAAGCCAACAAGCCAAACAAGAGTCTCAACTCAAATATCATAATACTGACAGAAAACATAAACAACATCCAAATCCAGTCATGGTAGCAACAGTATAAATAATCAACTAAGCTCTGGCCTCCTACCGCCAGAGACATCAGCCCCCAAGTTACCTGAACCTGAAATAAGCGTCCCCAAACGTGGGGTGAGATCTCTAAACAAGAAATCTCAGTAAGACAAGGGGTCCTCAAGGATCTTCCACCCCAAGCTTACTTACACGAGCAATATAAGTTCAAAAGCAGTAATTCCATATCAGTTCCAAAACTATGCAGTGCAACAGATATTCATGCCATGTGTGTTATAACTATTCTATTGGCCAGAGAAATGCAGGAATACGTCTATTACCTACAGTTAGTACAAGGAACATCGCTTGCACCTCACCCACAACCTCACCCTCTTGTATGTACCACATACTCAGGCTTACCGTATAGGTGGAACACCACATGCATATCATAAAGGCACTCGCATATAACAGCTCAACAGCATTTCAAAAAATCAATATATCATGAAAACAACATCATGCATATAACCATACCCCCATGGGACATGGTGGAATCAACAATGGCTAAACCGAGGACACGAAAGCTTACCTTGCAAGCTAACTATCCAATGCCAAGAGTCCACACAAGCTCAAGGCCCACAAACAGCACAATCACAATCTGCTCATACCATAATTAATCATCAATAATCATAGCTCAGATTTCATTAAGTGATTAAGTATTTCTTACTCATTTTAACTCATTACATGTTGTTTCTGCAGGAAGTATTCGAATACTCCACGAGTAGTATTCGAATACTCCAGCTCTCCATAAAGTATTCGATTACTTTCATTTAAGTATTCGAATACTACCAAGTATCCGAATACTTTCCCCCCCAATATTCGAATACCACAGTATCTGAATACCAAACCTCACTGTATTCGAATACTTTCCAGTATTCGAATACTTCTTCAAAGGTATCCGAATACTTTTCTGGGAAGAAAAGTATTCCAATACTCCTGCAAGGAGTATTAGACTACCAGTGAACAAGTATTCGAATATCACTCGAAAAGTATTCAAATACTTCTTCACCAAAATGTAGAAATACGAACAGTGATCTGCATAATCCCATTTTTAAGGGTCCAAAAGCGATTGTGAGTCCCATGACTCCCTAAACAGATGCTCATTAACATTAAAGGAACTCAGAAACTCAATCCATTACTCATATGGTTCAAGTTTTGAGCTCTAGGTTTTGAATACAAGTTATAAATGGTTTATAGAACTAGGG